CAGCCCTGGGGGTGGGGGAATTCCTGGGAGTTGAAGTCCACCCATCTTAAAGTGGCCAAGGTTGAGAAACACTGCCCAAGATTGTCTCTGTGGGACCAAGAATGGAACCCAACAGGTTTGCTAGGAGCTGTCCATGGTCCTGTTCCCTTCTTGGAACCCTGGATCCTTTCTCCTGGTTCAAACGGGAAAAGAACAGTCAAATTTACTTCTGTAATCACAACAAGCATGCTGGTCCAAGGGGAAAGAAAACTGCTAACCTTCTTAGTGGGGCCATGTTTTTCTTAGGGTCCCTCCAAAATGCCCCAAAGAGGTGGGCAATTTTTTGAGAAAAGAGAATGGAAACTCTGAAAAAATCCCTGAAATCTCTCTGGTGGGCGTGGGGAACAGATCACTTAACAAAACCATCCGTTCTGGTTATAAATCCGTTCAGAAACTCATAATAGTGTCCAGAAACTCATAAATGTGTGAGATGAAAAAAAAATCACTTGGCTCTGATTAGATTATCCATTGCTTGTATGAGGTCTTGAGGAGCATGTAGTTAAAAAATAGAGAAGACGTCTTTAAAGTGAAGTAACATTAAATGTGTAATTCAATTTTTTATTTATTTATTTATTATTTAAATTAATTTAACCTAAGGTGAATGAGGAAGTCCATTTGCTAAAGTTTTCTTTTTTCCACCTGCAGGTCATGGCTAAGGGGGGCATTGTGCATGATGGGACTCATGTTCAGACTCTGGAGCATGGACAAAGTGAGTGCTCCCACCCTGTTCCCAGGCTGTCTTCTTACAAGACTCCTGCTGCTTTTGGTCTTCCATCCCGTCCAGTAATGAATAATGATTAACTAATAATTAAAAACAATGATTTTTTATTTACAAGAAATGCCCCAGGGCCCCCATGTGGACACAGCAGGCAGTAGAATTTTTTTTTTAATGTTGGGAGTCTGCCTCTTACATTCCCTTCTTGGGATTGGGTTCTATTTCTTATTTTTATTTTTATTTTCTTCAACATGGAAGAGTAATCTCCTTTGCTGAGAGAGATTTCCAAAGGAACTATTGACTTCGTTGTCACATCCTTTCCTGATTTGGGAATTCATTTGTTTCCCTCCCCAGTTCTCTCTTTCTATGTGTGTGTATTTATTGTGTGTATGTATCTATATGTGTGTGTCAGAGATAACGTGACCAGGTGGAACATGCAGAAGATATACAACAACATAATCATTTTATTCACGTTTAAGCAAGGAATGAAATTGACTTAAATTAAATAACTTAAAATAGTATCAGGGAAGGCAAAGATTGACAGCCTAGAATACATTAGGTACCTGCTGACAATACAGGTTGTCCTTATTTAGCGACCACAGTGGGGACAGCAGCTCAGTCATTAAGTGAAGCAGTTGCTAAGTGAAACCATCACTGTGCTTATGATCTTACTTCAGCTTTCCTTGGCTTTACAGACCTGCAAAGGTCATAAATGGGGGGATTGGTTGAAAAGTGACTTTTTCCTCACCGTCATAACTGTAAGTGGTCGCTAAACAAGACAGTCACTAAATGAGGACTACCTGTTTTGTTATTCCATAGGAAGGTTGCGAAAAGACACTTTAAAAACGGTGACAAAATTGTTACAAGATTGTTAGATCTATCATTTCTCTCTCTCTCTTTCTCCTCTTTTCTGAATTTCTCTGCCTACCAGCCAAAGGAGAGTTTACTCTTAATCTCTCTGTGGAAGTTGACTCTGCTCCAGTGGCCCAGCTGCTTCTGTACACTATTTTGCCCAGCGGAGAACTTGTCACTGACTCAGAAGATTTCATGATTGAAAACTGTTTTGCAAACAAGGTAAGGTAGCCGAGGGGCCCCAAGGTCCAATTCAGAAAAGTAGGGATAAAAATAGCTTAGACAGCACTGAGAAAAACATTCAGAATGGAAGCACAGAATGATGGTACTAGAAGGGATCTCAGAGGTCACCTAGTCCTACCCTGTGCTCAGCGCAAGATCCTCTACAGCAGTGTTTCTCAAACTAGCTGGCTGGGGAATTCTGAGAGTTGAAGTCCACCCATCCTAAAGCTGCCAAGGTTGAGAAACACTGGTTTGGGGTGTTGGATTAGGATCATGGAGATCCAGATTCGACTCTCTTCTCAGCCACAGAAGCTCATGGGAGACTTTCAGCTGGTCGTTGTCTTTCAGCTCAGCCTACCTCCCAAGGTGGTTGTTATGGGAAAATTTGGAGGAGAGAGTACACAGCCTTGAACTTCTGGAAGAAAGGCAGGATATTGTAGAGGAATTTACCTCTCATCTTGAGGTGGTGGAGGGAGAGAGGAAATGATTGCTTAGCCCTGGGAAAGTAGCAAGTATGAGAGACTAAGAACCCTGCTAGATTTTGTTCTCCTTAAAAAGGGGCAGTGCAGGTTTTGGACACACTTTCTATTAATATACGCTACAATGTTCAAGTAACTTTCCTGGAATTCTGGCGGTGTCTGTTTCTTCACTCTTCCTCCTTTAAAGGGCTAACAAATATAAAATGAGCATATAAATAAATATTTGAACTTGAAACACAGAATGATGCCCTGAACATGTATACCTAGTCATTCCAATATCTCAGCACAGAACTCAGAGGAGCTGCACCAAAATGTAGAATATTCCATGATCAGGATTCCCAAGAATTACCCTCTTACCTTGTTACTCCATTCCATGGTTAGAATTCCATAGCCACTGAGCATGCCCAAGACTCCTTTGGCAATTTTTTTATGAGACCCAACTCTTGATTTTGTGTATTTTTATAAACCATGGAGTTTCTCTGGGCCTACTGGTAGCTCCTTCTAATGCAGGGATGATGTTATTTTAAAATTAAAAGAATAATGCCAAACAGGGAAACTAAACCACCACCACTTTATTCACAAAGTTTATTACCTAACCAAATATTCTTTTACTGGGTGAATTAAGAAAACAATGGCTGGCAGGTATTCAATCTGAATACAATGACACAAAAGGAAAAAAAAATGGGGAGGAAAAATAGCTATCAAGAAGATTAGGCTGCTATCCAGGTATAGAGGACTGAATTTTTCCATGGTTCTTGCTGTTTACAGGTGACGTTGCACTTCTCTGATGCTGAAGGCCTGCCCTCCAGTGAAACTTACCTTCATATTTCAGCCTCCAGAAATTCCCTCTGTGCCATCCAAGCTGTTGATAAGAGTGTCTTCCTTCTGAAGCCTGAGGCTGAGCTCTCACCTCAAACGGTGAATCTATTTACGTTCAGGCATAATTTTACAGAGCCATTTCCCTTCCTGCCCCTTTGCTGGCTTGAGTTCTAAGTCTCTAGTTCCGTGTTTCTCAACCTTGACAACTTTAAGATGGGTGGACTTCAACTCCCAGAATTCCCCAGCCAGCATGCTGGAGTTGAAGTCCACCAGTTTTAAAGTGGCCAAGTTCAAAAAACACTGCTTTAATCCAACCAGAATACAGCTGGTGCTGATTGAAATGAACTGCAGAAATGGAATTATTCAGGAGTCCTGGATGGGCTCTTACTCCCAGGAAGATTATGATTCTCAGATGTTCTTAAGCAAACTGTCTCTTCATCTCTCTTCTGTATGAGCTCCAGTTTGAGGCACTGATGATTGGACCGGTTTAGAGACCAGGACTTTCTATTGGGGCTGAAGCTCTGGGTTGAAAGAATCCAGGTGTGGAAGATGGTTCTTCCAAGATCTTTATGCACGGCAGTTTTTAATTTATTTTCAGCTTTCCCTCCTACTGTTTGGAGAGCTGATCCTGATTTTATACTGCAGATTTGGAGAAAACAACACACAAACGTTTGTATATGTTTGCACTTTTGAAATCATGCCTTTCTCCATGATCTTTTCCTAACAGCCATGTTTCTCTGCAAGGTTTCCACCCACCATGTCATTTTCTGCCCATTTTCCTCCAGTATGTCCTTTCTTTAAAAAAAAAAAAAAAAGATGACCTTAATATAAATAATTTGGGAATGAATAACTCTGCTCAGGTCTGGATAGGAAAGAAGTATCATATGGGCAATATTGTGTTTTAAAAAATTGTTAAAAACTGTTTAAAAAAACTCCACCTAATTCCTAAAGGGGAATATTACGGTTTTCCTTTTCTTAACTCTCCTTTGTATATGTTCTTCTGCTTATCTTTTATTCATGTACAAATCAGCAATACAAATTATATATATGAATATTATGGGACCGGGTTGCAATCAGCAGTGCATCCATGTTTTATGCACAGACTGAAGTGGGTTGCATGACTACTTGATTCAGAGATGCGAGTTAGTTTTAAACTCCAAATCAAGTCAACTTTATTAATTGAACCGGTTGCCTCCAAATCATTTCGGAGGCATCTGAGTCATAGACACACAGACTTCCAGAGTTAGAAGGACTGCTGAGGTCATCCAATCCATGTCTTTGGTTCATGGAGGAATCCCAGTTAAGACATGGGCTGTTACACTCAATTTCAACACATTTAATGAAGGGAAAAGCCACACACACACACAACTCCCTGGTTAACTGGTTCCACAATTGATCTGTTCTCACTTTTAGGAAGTTTCCTCCAAGACTGAATCAGAGTCTACCCATGACTAAAACTGCATTTGCCTTTTTTGCAGCCAAAAAAAAAAAAAAATCTGGCTCATATTCAGTTTACATTCAACTACTGTCCCAAGATCTTTTCCACCAGCACTGTTACAAAGGGCCATCTTGGCAATCCCCATTCTATACTTCTGCATTTGATCTCTCTTTCCTGCATGAAGAACATGATGGCTTGATTGGAATATCTGAAATATCAAATTAAACTGGACTGATTTTCCAAATCAGTTCAGAACACTGAAGATGGAAGACTAGCAACTTTGTTTTCCAGGTTTATAATCTGCTTCCTGTGAAGAGCCTCAAGGGCTATCACTACGCAGACTATAGCTTGGGAGAGAAAAACATGCAGCCCTGCATGGCTGCAAAAAATATTGTCGTCGATGGCATTTCGTATCGCTCAGAGTCCTTTTCTTATAATGAAGGTGATGCCTATGAGATTCTCAAGGTGAGTGCTGAATGGGAAACATCATAACTGCATTGGGTACTGGTTTCTGAAATTCTTATATTGCTGGCTAATGTAGACTTTGCAGAACAGATACTGAAGCAGGAGGACATTAAAAGAGGTGCCAGGACCAAAACAAACATCATCATGCTTATTTAAACTGTCCCCATTAATTACTTACAGCACCAGGGGCCCCTCCTCCATCTGCCACGGTGAGCCCAAGAATTCAACTCACAAAAGGGTTGTTTTTGTTGGGCAAGTTCTATAGCCCCGCCACCTCTCTTTCCCCTGCCACTCCCAAAGTTGCTCAGTTCAGGCATCAGCAAAAGAAGGTTAGATGTTATAGGTAGTCCTCGGGTTACGTCCATTTGTTCAAAGTTACGATGGTGCTGAACAAGGGAGACTTATGACTGGTCCTCAAAGTTGAGGCCATCGCAGTGTCCCTATGGTCATGTGATTGCAATTCAGGTGCTCAGCAACCAGCTCGCACTTATGATGGTTGCAGCGCCCCACGGTCACATGATCTTAATTTGCGACCTTCCCTGCTGGCTTCCCACAAGCAAAGTCAATGGGGGGTCGCAAGTTGTTCCCGTAAGTCACTCCTGCTCCCACCACTTTTACTCCCAAGGAGCCCAAGGCCCCCACCCACCCACACTCACGTCCATTCACCCACACTCCATAGCGCCTGCCCACACTCCCGCCCACCCATAGCACCCACCCATCCACAAGGGGAAATCCCTCAGGGAAGTTGGAAGGAATGGATAACAGCTGAGAGTGAAGTACTTATGGAGGTGCAGACTCTTGAAAGAGGACTTGATTCATGCTCAAAACCTAGTTCTCTGCAAGCTAGTTATCAGAGAACTAAATGCTGGAACAGCTAAGGACCCCTCAAGCCTGTCTCCCTCATGAGCTGGAGATGAGATCAAGACAACGTCATGGGGATGCAGCAGAAACAAAGGTGGACAGGTCATGCTCACCCAGTAGATGGACGCATGTGCAGAAAGGCCTTTATAGGACCATGGGAGATAATGTTTAAGGCAATAGATATTAAATGGTAGCTGCCGGAGAGCCACAGTGAAGAGGGTTATCATGCTCTGTCCATATTTATGAGCCTCCCGATCTGGTTGGTTGTTGGGTGATGCAAAAGGCTGTCATGACCTTCCAAGGAAAACTTTTTGTCCTCCAGCATTGCAGAGAGAGACCTTTGCTTGTTTTTTAGGACACTGGTTTGAAAGTCTTTACCAGCACCAAGATTCACAAGCCTGAAATATGCCCGGAGGATCTGCATCTTTATTCTGCTCCATTGGAATATGGTAAGAACCTGAACCAGGAAGAAGGTGGCTGCAGTGGAGGTCACAATCCTGTGAGGGGTGAGAAACCTTGCAGGGGAACTCTGAATGACCAAATGAGATGAGTTTGTTGGACACACTAAGGTGACAAAGAACTAAAACAAGGCAAAATCAGAAGGAGGCTTAGCATGGATGGATAGGTAGGTAGCATCACCAAAGCAATGAACATGAAATTGAGCAAACTCCATGAGGCAGTGAAGGACAGG